CTAGTCGAATGGCCAAAACCCATGCTTTTGTCTGGCGAGCCAAGGGCTCCACGTCTAACCACCCGTTTCCCAACGTATTTGAAGTGTGAATGACCCAGGGCAGAGGAAGGTTGAAGTAGTGGAGTGCCAATGGTGGTAATATCGCACAGAAATTTGATACCCGGCAAGGGCAAGAGAGAGGGGAGTTTAGCAGCGAGGCGCTCGCACCCAATTTCGCGTAAAAAGGCGATGCGCCAGGATCCCGTAACGCTCCTCGAACTAAATCCTTACCAGCCGGTGGTTTCCCTCGTTGATCATGTACATTGTCTGAATTGAATGCATCAAGAACGGCCACCCAAGGAAGTATAAGTGTACCAAATGGCATACGCCGACAATAAAGGAGGAAATAATGTCGTGAAGATGCCCTTGATTAAATCGCCCGCGCAAATAAATCTCGTGCTACGGTGTATGCTCGCTCATCACAAGAGGATCGTGAATGCCATGGTGGATGCCGTCAGTGCGGTGACAAATGGCCAGATACGCGTGTCCAAAGCCATTGGGCCGACAGCAATCGCAGCGCTGGATCCGGAATTCTGAGGAGCCGAGCCCGAGACCGACGGATTGCTGGACTTGGAGGCACCAGACGAGCCGCTCGATGATTTAGAGGGCGTCTTCGCGACACCCGATGTGGACGAGGGAGTAACAGAGGCAGAGTTGGACGGTCCTAATCCTGATGCCGAAGTGGAGTTGTCTGTGTCGAAGGTAGGGGCGGCAATCGCGGCTGAGGGGTCTACGAGTGCGCCCTTTCCCCACAGAACAGGTTTCCCCTGAAGGTCTAGATCAGGCCCACTCTCCGTCGGATCGGTGGAACTGCCATCTGCGCCAGCAATCGTGAACCGACCAGTCCAGGAGGCGTTTTGTCCAGCCGCGGTGAGCTGGTAAAAGTATATCTGAGAGTTGGGAGTGACCTGCAGCACAAAGGTCAGCCATCTTCTCGACAGTGTGAGTTGAATTAGTCAACCTCGGGGCAGGTGTAGTCGAAGACGCCAGCGGTTGATCCATCTTGGTGTTCGGCAACGGCTAGTGGAATGCGTGAAAAAAAAAAAAAAAAAAAAAAAAAAACCCTAAGGCGAGGAGAGGTTTGGCGCTTACTGGTGAGATGGACCATGGCCAGATTGGGCCCGCTCATGAGCTCAATAGCCATGTCCTTCCAAGCATCCGCACCTGAATCATCGCCCGCCCAGCCGATGTGACAGTTTGTGCCCTGGTTAAACTTTTCGCCGGGGGCGGGCTCATTGGCATCTACGAGAGCCTGGGACCGCAAAACGGCACTGGAAGCGACAACAGCAGTGAAAACGATGGACGTGAACATGGCTTTTAAGGGACTGAGGATGCATATGGTGAGATGGCGAAAAAAAAAGTGGGCAGGAGCAACGAGACAGACTCACAGGTGAGCTAGTAAAGGAGTGGCAGGTAGTGAAAGGAGCAAGATCCTGTGCACGAAAGAAAGAAACGAGGGGAAATATGTCACGCGTAGAAAGACGTTGATCACTGTCTGACATGTCTGATAGTTCGGCGCTACTTCGCCGCCGCGCGTAGCTGCTAAGGTTCTCAGCACTACTTAGGTGCTCGCTCCAAACGATGTTTTGGTATGTTTCGTGCAGCTTTTACCCAGATCGGAAAAGATAATAAACGAGGCCGAGGTCGGGTCGTCTATATGCTAAAGCAGGCATTCAAAGAGCGGTCGTTCGTGAGCAGTAGGTCTCGATACAACGCGTTTAACGCGCGAGGACGAAATAATTTGGAGGTGCGGCACATGGATGCTAGATCCGCTACTTGGACGTGGCGGAGAATTATGTCGAGCGTATCGAGAGGCAGAAGAGAAAAGATGCTGAGTGATGAAAGAGACATCGTGGTTCAAGTTCAAGTGGCTACTTCGGCACACGTCTGCCGAGATCGTTGGATAGACACAAGGATACACACCTTTATGGCTGAACCACAAACCGATGTCTCGCGTCCGTCCGCTCTGCCCACTGCAAATTTTCTTCAGCGCGGTACTGCCTCGCAGTCTGTGGTGGACCAAAATTCTGCTGAATACCTCGACGCTATCGAAGAAGAATGGAACAAGAAAGTTGATCTAGAGGTCGAAACTCTCCTCGACGGCATGGTCGATCTAGTTGGCCTCGCGTCCATTGGAGACAAGGATAAATTCCGCATCGCGCAGGAGTCGTTTCAGGCTCAAACACGCGCTGAATCCATGGTATGCTCATCCCTGCTGCGCGGTTCGGGAATGATAACACTTGCCAAAAGGTTCGCGCCGCCAACTCGCTACTTTCAATAACCCATTCCATGAAACTGCTGTTACTTCTCTCTGACGAGGCGCAGATCGCGCACAGGCGGGATACCGAGCTGAAAACTGTGCAAGAGGAGAAAGAAGACGCGCGCGCCCAGGTAGCTGCCCTTCTGGATGAACTTATCCGGCGCCCAGATGCGAAGGGTCCCCATGACACGGAAACCGGGAGTACTGCTTAGAGCTCAAACTCCAGTTCCTACTCAACTACACGTCGATTACCTGCAAAGGCCTCGACGATGAAGCTTTCGGTCGGGTCACGTCGTGTTGAGCAGGGCGACCACGTCAAATTCGATGCAGAGGACGTGACCACGGGTTCGCTGGCCGAGTGCACTGGCTTTTGCCAGTAGAATGCACGAAAGTGCATCGCTGTAAAAAGTTACGACAGTACATATATTAGGACATTCATTGTTCACAGATTTAAGTCGACTCCCTCCGCAGCAATTTCCGCCAGATATATCTTGGTGTCGGCCATGAGAATCAGTCTGTTCCCGGCGAATATCATATTTGAAGAACCGACGCCGAGGAATACCTTGCCGAGGAGAGTGCCGTTCGGGTTAAAAACCTATTTCAAATGCTGGGTTTCAATACTCCGAACGTCGCGCCTGTATCTCTCAGAAACGTACCGAAGTCCCATCTCCGCACCCAGCGTATAGATTGCCCTTCGTATCTAGCGTCAGGCCGTCGGGAACCCCCGTGTCAGCGAAGGCGAACACCCGGCGGTTGCTGAAAGCCTGTGTTTCTGGCATGACATCGAAGGCGTATCTGGAAACGAGTCAGAACAAATGAAGTCGCTGCTGGCTATGGTGCTGCACCCACATTGTCGCAGGAAGCGTCGGGTCAATGCCGCCGAGGACTCCTTGCGTCTCGCCTGTGTCCGCACTGTAAATAATGGGTTAGCCGTTGCAACTGGGACATGCGAGAGACAAACATATAAGCCGTGGAACCATCGGGCGAAAACGCGATTCCGTTGGGCTGTGAGAATCCATCCGCGACCACGCGCACCTCGCCAGTGTCAGCGTCAAAGCGATAGACCTGGTTCGGAACTAAAGGCGCAGGCCGGAATCCATTCTCGAACCCATAACTGAAATAAAGAGATGAGTTATTAGGCTACAAACTGAATGCTATGATCATACGTGACGTCCGTGAAAAATATGGCACCGCTCTGTGGATGCACTTTGGCGTCGTTGAGAGAGTTGAATTGGCGGCCATAGTAGTTGTTCAATATGATGGTATCGTTGAACGGGGGATTAGGATTCACCCTGATTAAGCTCGGAGGAAGGGGGCCAGATCCGGTGGTAACAAGCAACAGGTCCCCGCGGAACGGTGTCCCACCATTATTGATCTGAACATCATCACTGAGAGGTATCTAAGAAGAAGAAAAAGAACGTTAATCGCGGGAACGGGTAGAGCGGAGGTTTACGCGCGATTGTAAAGTTAATTAATCCCGTCGTGCTTGTTTTGAGATCGTTCAAGTTTATAAACGAAACCTGGGTTGCTGTTAGCTCGTGAGGGTATAGAATAGCTTAACAGTCAGTTACCGGACGCCCCTCGACTCTCCCTCCGGTGAAAAATACCTCATCCGTGGCCGGAACCCATATCGGACCATCATGAGCGAATGCGAATGTGTCGTTTTCTACGATGACGCGAATGGTCGGATTCGGACCCAGGATTTCAGTAAACCTATCGTCGTAAATCTGGAAATACGGCGGGGTGAGGTTGGCATTCGGGTTGGGCTCGAAGTTGCGCTGAGATCCATTGCGGAAGGGGCCGTGAGGATCTAGGACTGCGAACGTGCGTTTGTCTTCGCGCTTGAATAAATTCAAGGCGTCGGAATACGGCAACGATGAAGGAGGACGCTCATACAACAATGGGCGCTTGGCCAATAACCAACCCTACGTTGATCGCCAAGGACATCAAAGTTAAGGACATCATTCTGGAGTAGTGGTTGTTTTCGTGTGGATAGTCTGGCCGCCAAGTAAAGTTCCTGGAAGCTTATATACCAGTAGCTTGAGAAGACGGCCGATACATAGGCGCGAAAGATCGCGGAAACATCCCCATCCTGAGGGATTCAAGTTGCAGAGACTCCACATCCTCAACCGCGGTGACGAAATCCGGCGTGTATTTTTCGCATGCTTGGCATTCTCATACCCGCAGGGATACGCAATGGATGCCACAGTTGATGGAGAGGACTGTGCTGGCTCGACCTGTAATTGGCCTTCGATTAGAGACCGGGGTGTTGATACTTGTCAGTTCCGCGCACAAGAACATTCCCTTTGATTCCCAGAATGTTGGAATCTGCCATAACCACTTACCAGACTGGCCAAGTGGTTATGGCAGATTCCAACACAGATTCCAACACAGAAGCGTCAAGGAAAGCCAAAGCCTTGATCATTGTGTAAGAAAGCGTGCGCCATAGCTTCTGGATGAGGTTCCGGGTAAGGATCTCACATATTGTCATGGGAAAGACCTACCATAGCTCGCGAATTGAAAAGATCAACGGCAATGGTGAATGTGGGGCCTACTGTGAGAGCTAAGGGTAAAAGGAACGTCGGGGGACGGCTGTAGAGTGATGTGGTACCCAAGTTAGAAACCAGAACGTAACCCACAGTATTCCGGAGTAAATACAAGAAATACAAGGTCCAGAAGGTCACAAAAAGGGCCAAAAGAATGGCATCACCGTGGCTTGAACACGGGACCTTCAGATTCCTAGATTTTCTTCAGTCTGCTGCTCTCCCAACTGAGCTATGACGCCGATGGAAGACAGGAGTCGCGAGACATTCCGAGATAAAAATCAGCGTCTCTGCTCTTCTAGACTTCTTATTTCATTCTTCGACAAGACTGGGGAGAGATTCAAGCCAGATGGAAGTAAAAATGTGGACGGAGAAGCGTTCCCTGCAACTGGAACAGTCCTGAAGATCGGAGTCTGAGTTGCGTGTGAGACAGTCAAGGCAGGAAAAACGTCAGTTCTCTCCGCGTGTAGGAAAGCTCCAGCATGAAAAGTAGACTACGAAGACTCTCTAGCTCTTCTCTGAGGCAGATCGAGCATCGTTTGTGCAGTCCCTGAGAGATCGGAAGTGCTTTTGGGATGGCCAAGATCCAAACAGAAAGCACTAGTTTCTGCTTCGTCTGTGAAAGCTGTTGCATGAGAATTAGCCTAAAAAGACTAGCAAGACTCTTTTCCTGGGCGGGTAGAGCGTCTTTTGGTGGGGCCCTGAGGGGATTAGAGATGGCCATATCCGGATGTAAGCGGAGTGGTGTTGTATTGTGTTTGTTCGCGATCCAATTCCGTACGTCGATCGCCACCGAATTCCCGAAGAGTGAAACCAACGCATATGCCGTCTGCCGGCGAGGTGAAGGACTTGGAAGGCGTCTCTGCCGCCCAGCATCGCTTTCGTCTCTCTGTGAACGTAGGGGATACACCGATGGAGAACGGCCCAAGCAGTGCGACTACGGTATCCAATCGCCCACCTCCACCCCAAGATCCAGCGGGCAACGGCCCCTTTCTCGTACGTCGCCGGTGCAGCAGATGTTTTCTCTGACCTGCATAGTATGCCCAGCTTCCGTATCGAAATTCCCGGTACAAGGAAAAGTAGGTGGTCAACCAATCCATTTAGCCGCCCGCGAGGGTTGGTTGCCAGCGGCCACCACACTCACTACAATCCAGATTCCAATCGTTACGAGAAAAATACGACCGCGTCACTGCAGTGCGTCGTCCCATTTCCACACGAGCATTTACCGCAGACGCGTCTAACTCCGGGCGCGGTGCACAGAAACAGCAAGAATACCACCAGGACCTCGAGATTGCCACGGCGAAGATCAAGAAGCTCCAAGCAGAGAATGAGTGCGTACTATCTCCTCTTTTTATGGAAACAAATCCCGCACTAATGGCACCGCACCCAGTTTGCTTTTAGACGCGATGAACCTCGCCGCGGCGCACCAGCCGTCGATGTTCGGGCTCATCCCACCGGCGCATCACCCAGATGTGCCGGCCGGTGGAGGCCCCATGGACCTCGACGCGTTCGCCGGCCCAGGCACCAGCGCCGCGCCCCTTCTCGCCGAACGCCCGCCGCCGCGCCACATCAACGGGAACGGCGCCAGCAGCAACAGCAACAGCAACAGCAACGGCAACGGCAGCAGCAGCAGCGGGCTCGGACCCCCGCAAACAAACGGCAACGGTCACCCGCCTCTGCCCGAGGTACGTTCGCGCGCGCGCATTGTTGTTCCGTACCCCACGAGCTGCACTAACCCCCACGACCAGCAATCGCGCCCGTCGCGGCCGCCCTCGATCGAGTTTATCGCGCACGACATGAACGGGCGCGCGCCGTGACCTACCTGCTTGCCTGCTGTGTCCCTACCTTCCATATATTTGATCTCTCCGTACTTACTTAATAGCATCTGTATTCCGCGCCCGACGCATGTACGCTACACTTCCCCGCGCTATCCGGCCCTCACGCACTACACATCCGTTATCCCCGTAGTCTCGCCTCCGTCTCTCTCGTGGATTACATCTCGCTGCTTTCGTCGTATGTCGTTTACATCTAATTTGGGGTTTTTTTTCTTTCAATCAATATTCATCCCGTCATCCCGCTGCCATTGATTTCAGATTCGATGTTTGATTTTTTGTTTCCGCCGGTGGTAGTACACATATATCTATAGGCTTTATCTCCGCCGTCCCCGTCCCTCGACCCTCAAACCGCCCGCCCAAACAACAATAGATAAAAAAGGAGCGCGGTGGTGATGAGACGGTGATGTAGACACGGGGCAGGGGCGGTGAATGTGGATGGATAGATGGTTGGTTGGTTAGATGGGTTGGATGGATCGGGGATGAATGGGTGAATGGATGGACGATGCGGTGCGGTGGTGTACAGGATGACAGCAGGGCGTGTAAAGAAGAAATAAACACGAGAGCAGCAAACAGAACAGAGTAGCGGGGAAAAAAGTGTAAAAATGAACGGCGCGCAAAGGAGGGCGGATCGAGGTGTTTTTTCGTTCGGTGGTCGTAGGTATGAGAGAGAGAGAGAGAAGAGAGAAAACTCATCTAGTGATACGTACGTAAGAAACAATCCGCGGGAATGAAATAGAGCACAACACGACGCGAGGTCCAAGATACAAGCACACGCAGAGACAGACAAGGAGGAAAAAGGAAGGAAGGGCTGGGCTGCACACCCATTTTTGCGTGCGCGTGCCATTAGCGGCTTGGCGCATTACTCGGCACGGACCCGAGCCCCAACCCAACGCCGCCGCCGCCGTTCGGGCCGATGCCGCGCACCATGCTCCCGATGTTCGGGATCCCGCGCGGCCCCTGCCCGATGTGTGCCAAGCCGCTCCCGCTGCGCGGCCGTCCGTGTGGGCCTGCGCTCGGGCCAGTGCCCCATGGACCAAGCCCCCGCCGCCGCCCGCACTGCCCGGCTGCATCGCGTACCCTAGCGGCGCGCTGTCACTGCGCGCGCGGCTTGCACGTGGCTTGGGCGGCGATAGCGAGTCGACGGACGCGGCGTGGTGCGGGTGCGGGCTGCCCCCATTCACGCCGCCCGCCGAGTGCCCCGGATGTGCCGAGTGAGGTGAGTCGTCGGCGGACATCATGCGCTGGCGCTTCGAGCTCCCGCGCCCCGATTCTGGCTCGTCAAACATCTCCATTGTGATGGAGGCGGGCGACGCGGGAAGAGGCGACTGGGACGTCTCGCCGCGCGAGAAAGAGATGTGCTGGAAGCTCTGCTGGCGCGAGAGCGAGTGTGAGTGTGCGTGCGCGGGGTGATGGCCCGGCGGCTGGTGATGGAAATCGGACGCAGGCGGGCTCGGGTCGTAACTGCGCGGCGACGTGACAAAAATGTTGGGCTCCAGCAGATCGACGGGGAACGGGGGAACTGCAGTTGTCCGTCAGCTAAGAAGAGAAGAGAAGAGAAAAAACGACAAACCGCTGCCCGGGCCAAAGCCCTTGCCAACGACGTCCCAAAGGCGGCTGACTACCGAGACGAGTTTTTCGACGCGGCGACGCTCGGCGTTGAGCTGCTCCCACATGCGCTGATTCTCCTCGCGCATGGCGCCGAGCTGGGCAGCGACCTGGAGGCGGTGAGGATAGGGGGTCAGAGTCGATGCAAGCGACACACCTCCCCAGGGAGTTCGACGCGGTGCTTGAGCGCCGGATCGGGCTCGAGGGCCTTGCGCTTAATCTCGTCTAGGAGATCGGGGCGGCCACGGAGAAACTTGTGATGGGAAAACTCCCATGTCTGGGCATCAGACGTCGTGCGCTGCGCGCGCGGCGTGCGGTTGATCTTGTGGAAGCCGTACATGTTGAGTTGGCGCACAAAGCTGGAGAACTGGAGAGAGACATGAGCAGGGAGGCCGAACGGATGTCATGTCAAGAAGAGAAACAGCATGACACGGCGCGTGGATCTTGGCGGGAAGCGAGCGGGACAGACATACGTACATTGTTGTGCTTGAAATGGCTGCCAAGGATGCTGCGGCTGAACTCGCCGACGTTGCTGACGACAAAAGAGGTGCCCAGCTCGGTCCAGGAGATAAAGTGTGAAGATTTTGCATCGGTGATCATCTGGTAGAGCTTTGTGACAAAATTGTTTGTGGCCATGGGTTTGCCGAGAACGCCCATGGTGGGGACGAGAGTGGGGACGGCGATCTTTGCGTCGTCGCCACTGCCGGAGCTACCATCGACAGGAGAACTGCTTGCATCGTAGGGCACGAGGCCCATGTCCATGTCGTCGTAGCCCGCGCTGGTAGGGTTTGCGCTTACCGGAGAGCCTGGACGGGGCGACAGGGTATCGCTGTCGGTTGTAATGCGCAGAGAAGGGGTACTGATATTCGGGGTATGGGAGCGCGAATTGACCGGATTCAAGTTGGGCGGGGGGTCGGATGAAAAACTGCGTTTCCGGGGCAAAGTCGAGGTCGTCGAACGCGGGGAATTGGGAACATTTACGCTAACAGAGTCGTAGGACGAGTCGTGGTCGTACGAGTCCTGAGAGTCGTTCCCTCCACCACCCTGGCCAAACTGGAAGGGGTGAAGATGGCTGCCATATGTCGCTGGACTGATGGGTGTTACGGGGCTCAGAGCACCAGAAGGAGGCCCGATGGGGGATAGATTTGTGGGAGAAGCGACGGTGAGGGACGAGAGATTGAGAGAGAGGGACGAGGAAGAACGATGGACTGGGGGGTTCTGCTGGAAGCCAAACTGGGGGTAGTGCTGCTGCTGCTGCTGCTGTTGCTGCTGCTGCCAGCGAGGAGGATTGTAGTGGTTCTGCCCCTCGTAGTCCATCGAGTGCCAGCGTTGTAGACGAAAAAGCAGTAATCTAATCGAGCCTATATCGCTTCTTTTGCTTCCGTCCTTTTCTCACGCCCGACAAGGACCTCTCATTCGACACTCAAACATTCATTCAATCCATACAGTTCATTGCAATTCCACATATTCTAATGCAATGCAATCTCCCCAATCGAATTACACCCGTCCAATTTGTGCGCAGCACCCCGCCGTACCTCTCGGCCGCAGCTCATCTCCCTAGCGATTAAATTTATTCAGCGCTAGAATGTCCGCGCCCGTTGTGGGCGTTCACGGTACAGCGCTAAGCCTCGATGCAACACCCGGCCCGGCATCGAAGTCCGTTTCGTACGCGGGCTTCATTGAATGTCATTTGATCCCCGCATGGTGCAGATCGGCGCGCGCCGAATACATCTTCTCGCTGTTCTTGGCTGCACGAACATGCGACTCAGCGCACAATGATAGGGAAAGAAGAACGCGGTGAA